CAATCTCTTTTTCTGTGTCCCCTGTTATCAATGAACAGGAATCCTTTATGAGTGTTCCTGTTCATTGATAACATGGTATGTTTACTATAACTACAATTATGAATGAGCAGGAGGAGATGTAGATCACTCCCGTTGATTCATAATTGAGGATATAGTATACATACCAGGTCCTCAATTATGTACAAACACTCAGCGATCACTGATCGCTGAGTGCTTGTACCCATTCTCCTCTCTGACACACACTGTCATAGGAGGCTGCAAGAGGAGAGCCCAGCCTCCTGTGACAGCGCTGGCTGTCTCCGCCCCCACACCGCTCTGCTGCACTGTGATAGGCGGCCGAGCGGTGTGGAAGGAAAGACACCGGCCGCTCACAGCGCTCGTCCCGCAGCGCTCGGCCGGCTGTCATTTTCTCTCTAATTCCTTTCATCCCTGCTGGGCACTGCTCTGTGTCCCAGCGGGGATGAAAGGAATCACGGCCGCCCCGACAAAACGGCAGGAAAATATCACTTTCGGCATTTAGCCGAAAGTGCCATTTTCGGCAGGCGCCCCCCCCTTCACTTTTCGCCCGGGGCCCGCGCCCCTGCTGCCCCCCCGGTTGTGAGGCCACTGCCTAAGGTGGTTCCTGGTAGTTTGTAAGTGTGTATTCCGCTTTAAATGGCTCCTGAGGGGTACAAGAACTCCTTTCAACTATCTTGAAACTGTTCTTGTGCCAAAAACAAAGCCTTTTATTAGCCTCATGTTTTATTTTTATAAATTTTTTTACAGACCTAAAAGAAATGATTAAAGCGACAATCCACAAATAATCATATATACAAAAAAAGAAAAAACAATACAAACAATAATAAAAACAACCAAAACTACCCTAATACACATTGTGATATTTTGCTTCAGTTGGGGAAGATTAGATTGTTTTAAAGAAAATGTAACCTAGGCAGCTGAATAAATGAAATTGAGATGAATACCATCAGGTCAACAAATGTATTACCTCTCTTCCTTCCAGAACACCATAGCTCAGGATGAGGGATGCCTTCATAATTCCCCACCACCGGAGGAACCCTTTACATGGGTGGGACCCAGGACGCTGGTCATCAGAAAGACCTTACAAGGGTTTGGATTCACCTTGCGCCATTTCATTGTGTACCCACCAGAGTCTGCGGTGCATGCATCAGAGCAGGTACAGTTTGGAAATTATTCCTCATATCCCCATATCTATATGTTAAAATTGGAGCCAAAGGAAAGGTTAAAGTGCTTGACTTGTAGCAGCCAGTTAAGTCTTAGCTTTCATTTCTAACCTAAAGTAAGTAACAGACATGATGCTTTTTTCAGTGTGGCTTTATTCATCACTTTGTTGTTCTGTTGGTTGTTCATTTGATAGCATGCGTTACTGGGGGATGTAGCATCTTAGAACATTTAGGCCCTTTTCACACCTGAGCATTTTGAAGCTTAAAACTACAAAACACTGAACATTAAGAATCCCATTGTCTCCTATGGGGCCTTTGCATACCGGAGAACTCAAGCTCCTGTATCTAATCCCCATTGCTCCAAAAATTACAGAAGCTTCTTTTCACACTGAATCAAGCATTTTAGCCCCATAGACCTTAAGTGGTGCACCTGAAAAATCCTTGAAAAACATGTGTTTACATGTGTTTTTTTATGTGCTCCTATTAAAATAATCTGGGCCCAAGAGTGCTTCATTCTGCTTCTGTGCTACAAGTGCATAAAATGCTTAAAACTTGTCAACAAGAGAAAAAGAAGCCTGTAAATCGCCTGGCTAAAACACACTAAGGTGTGATAGCAGTCCAATGCTCATTTGACATGTTGTGCTATGAATTTGAATATAGACTCCACAGCCTGCCATACAGAGCTGGGAAACATCCTGTCTGGAGTAACATGGATTCTACAATTCTCCTATTACAATTCTATTAAATACATTTAGCAGGATTTTAATTGTCAGAAGTGTTGCTGGATCTTTCTCTTTGACATTTGTCTTAATCTTGCATCACATAGCATGATGACAATCCCTGTATTAATTGTAATCTCTTTTTCTTTGCAGGAAGAAAATGTCAGCAGAGGTAAGATGTCAAACTGACATGCTTGTAAAACTTGTGTTTGAAAGAGCGGGAATTGATGTGGTGTTTGCAGTGGTAATATTCTTAACATGATAAACTAACCTTTTTAGCTATTTGAAAGTAAACATTAACAGGGTTATTCATAAAAAGGGTGAAAAGTTTGGAGAAGGCAGGAGAAATGAACAATCTAGGCCAAAATAGCTGATTTGAAAATTGTCTCCAATTCAGCTCACTTTCCAGTTCATCTATTTTGTCCTAAATTGTTCACTTCTCTTGCCGTCTCCAAACTCTTCACCATTTTGTGAATAACCCTGTAAGTTTTGCTTTTTGTTTCTAGCAGTGTGTTTGGTGTTACCTATTTTAGGTTAAAGTAAACTTATTGATGCAGGGTAATGTCCTTATTTGATATTTTTGGACATATATTTGCAGGAAAACAACCCTTTGCATCTCTGAAAACTAACTGTAAACTAACTACACTCCAAGTCACTCAGCCTGTACAAGTGTGATTATCATGAGTTATAACTTCACTTACTGTAAACTACATCTTCATATGGTCAACTCCAGACAACATTTTTGTTCATGTGGTATAGATTTGGAGAAGAAGAGGCATTGTTCAGGTATTTTGAGAGCCAGCGGGGCCGACTAGCACTTTTTCCATCTGACCATAGAAAATCTGCAGAAAATCTATAGGTGTATGGCCAGCTTAATACTCCTGGTCTCAACTGCCGACTCTCAATACATCGTTACTGACAGACCAGGAACTTCCTGTTCTGTCACGCCTCCATGTCTGTGATTGGCGAGCACTGTAACTTACAGGCAAGGAGGTGTGACAGCACATTGTAGCACACTGCCACTCATCACAGACAGGGCACTTTCTAAACATAAACAAAAATGGATTTGTTATTGTACAACTGTAATGTGTATACACAGTGTGTGTATATGTATAATAAAAATACATTTGTATTTGTATTTATGACTATACACTGATTTGCAAAATTCATAATTCATAAAGAGTATCTGCGACACTCTTCCGAATTCCTTCATGCATCTAGGTGACAAATTTCGGTGGTTGCACAAGATTCAAGTAACTGTTGCAAACAGGTACATACATTTTTTGCAAACACCAAGATTTGTCGTGCAGAGACGCAGTGAGGCTGGCAGGTCCAGACACTGCGTCCTTAGTGCAGCTTAGGATTACTGAACCGGATAAAATCACAGGCTCAGTATTAATAAACTGACAATAGAATTTGTTGTAACACACAATAACTTCTTGTTCCTGAATATTTCATCCAGCTAAAATGTACTGCCATGGGGGCCAGGTTTCCCCCAAGCTGTGCTAATTTGATCATGGGATTTTGGGAACAGTTTTTTTTAACATTATGTTATAATACAATTATTATTACCCATGAAGAGATCTGCTTCATCAGCTTCTCTCCAGCGTTTGAAGCTGGAGAGTGACACAAGAATGCGGAAGTGATGTAATATACATCACTTCTGCATTCTGACACCGCAGAGGGGACCGGAGGGAGATTGTGTACCGATCTCCCCCTGATCCCCTTTCACAGAGCGCACGGACCGGCACCTTATACAAGCGATCCGTCGGCTATAGAGCTGGCAGATCACTTGCATGTAAACAGGCATCACTGCCTGTTTTTAAATTTGGGTAGGCTCCCGATCGTGAGCGAGTGCCCACTCAGATCTAGGAAGCTCCCGGCCGGCTGTATTTCTACAACGGCCAGCCGGGAGGCGGTTAAATAGCTTTGCAACCGTGGGTCTGAATGAGGGACTTGAAATCAGAAGTCAGAATTTGTTTCAGATTTCTACTGCTGTCAGACCCGACTTGACAGGTTTTCCTTTACTTTGTGTTACTGTGACACCAGGCAAAAATGTGCTAACCCCTCTAATACTATTGAAAAATAGGGTTTTTCGTATTGTCCATTGAGGGACGCAGCACATCATATTCATGAATTATTATACTGCCTACAGGAGGAATGGACACAAGGCCCAACAACAGAAGGCCAGTCAATTGGGCCATAACTCCTCCTCTAGATATCCTTCTCAGTTTTTAATTTGTGTCCTTAAACAGGAACTTTACCCATAGCTTTAAAATAACAACAAGCACACCTCTAAAATGTTTAGTAATGACAATCTACAAACGGATACTTCTACATAATTGCAGGCTTTGTATTCTTTGCATACCTTATTTCTTTCCCAGTCTTCTGACAGTGGCCATGTTAATTAAGGGCAGGTTTCTAGCTCTCCCTTTACTTTCTGAAACACTGGAACATCTGACTAGGACATGTGACCATGCACATCATTTCAGGGGAGGAAAATGCCAGTCAGCCCCTTCACCCTGCCCTGCTTTTACCCTCCTCCCTTCCTGTACCACCTGCCCTCTCCCCCCTCTACGCTATGCCTGGTTCCCCATTGTACATGGGTGCAGGAACTCGAGCGTAGAGGTCTCTTCTGCGCTTCCTGTCCTGCGCTGCGTGCCGTCCCCCCATTGGTGTCATTGTTGTTATTGTCTTTCCCTAAATGTCTGCAATTGTGATGTATTATTTTGTGGATTTTTGTGTTGTTTATTTTTGTTTATCTGCAAAAACTTTCTCCAATAAATACTTATTATACAAAAGATTACAGATGATATTTCCCAGCAATGTTCTGCGGATGTAACATTCCCAGGATGCAACACTTTGGCACATTACATAATTTGTGCCACAGGTGAACCAGGAAATAGATGAACTCTATTTGTAAAAAGAAATGAAAAACAAGTCTGTTTAACTAAAGATGATTTTTTTTTTTAAGCAAGTATTTCTTTATTGTGGTATTTATGATACAAAACAAACAGTAATCAATGCAGGATCAATACAAGATAAGTACAATCTGGGGGCCAGCCGACCACCCAGGCAGTTACGTCATACAAGCATCTGTAACTAATACCAGGTAAGTATGCATAACCAAACAGCAATGGATGCAAATATTTTTCGAGAGTTCATCTCTATAGTACCAGGTAACTGCAATTAAACAAGATGACATGAGAACCAGGAGAATACGATAGGGGAGGGGGAAGGGGAAGGGTAGGGTGCGGTGTGTTTACTACAGGGTCACCAAAATTGTCTGTGTCAAGGCATGTTGGTTGTAAACAGGTATGGTCGAAGAGCAGAGCAACCGATATCTTTTGTCTTCTGGGAGTTTACCGATTAGGGTATGTGAAAGGTGAGGTGGTCAATACATTAGGGCGAAGAGGGATTGCAATGTGATGTTAATGATAATGATAGTGTGGGGCTCCCCCAACCAGTCCTATGGGCATGAAGGGTCTCTATTGTTTAGGTACATATATAAGGTTAACAGAGAAAACTCATAAAACATCAAGTTCGCCTAAGGAGCCCGTGGATTTAGCCAGTAAGTACCATTTGGAATATTGAAACAGCGACATCACATCTTTCAATTGAGGGGTGGTCATTTCGTGTACCAAATACTGTGTCCAGGTCTTAAAGAATCTGTCTGTCAAGTGTTGGTTGTGCTTGGTGTCGAGTTTCTGAATGAGCGTCAGTGTGGGGGGAGTAGTTAGCAGCCAGGCTCTAAGAATTAATGTTTTAGCGGCCAAGAGGCAGAGATGTTCCCATTGGGTCAATGAAGGGCGGGAAGTGTTGGAGATGTCTTGTATTACTTGGACTAGACAGTACGTGGGGGTAAGCAACCCTTGGTGAGGTGACAGTAAAGATATATATCGTAGAGTGTAGTCCCAAAAACGGTGGATGATAGGACATTCCCAAAAGAGGTGTGTCAGGTTTGGGCGGTGGGCTTGGCATTTCGGGCAATTTTGGAGCCAAGGTGAGCTGGGACATGTGGGACCAAAATTAAAGGTGCAATAGGCTCTATTAATTAACTTAAATTGTATTTCCCTCCATTGTTCGCTGCATACATTCTTGCAAACAGCCCGCCAGCTTCTGAGCATCAGGTCATAAGTATCTACAGGGGACAACTGTACCAACGTGGCCCATTTATGTGCATAACAAGGGATTATGGAGGTGGGTTCCTCATGTGAAGGGTGAAGTATGGAGTAAGCCTGTGACAGCGAGATTTTGTTTTTGGGATGTGCCGTTATTTTGGAAAAGGGGGAGATGTCATCAGGACGCACGGGAAGGTGAATGTGTGCCTTAAGAAATGAGGTGATCTGGCCATATTGTAGAAAGTGAGCAGGGGATATTAGGTTAGATGTCACTAAGTCTTGTAAGGATCTACATTCAGGACAAGGGGCACCCCTGACGTGTCCCTCTGTGTAAATGAAACGGTGGGGAGAGAAAGGTGGTAGTAAAAATGCGTGCCATCGGAGATGTGTACATGGAGGCTATATAATTTAAAAAGCTTCCTTCAAACCACATATGGCGGAGAACCTGTTGAAGCCATCGCCAGCTGACGCTATCAAATGCCTTCTCCGCGTCCAGAGCCAGAAGGGCCGTGGGACACGAAGAGGACACCGACAGGCGCGAGTATTCCATGGCTGTGATGACCTTCCTAATGTTGGTGATCGCTGAACGTCCAGACACTAAACCTGCTTGGGCCGGAGAAATGAGTGAGGGCAAAATGGACGCTAACCTGTCCGCCATTATTTTAGACAGGTATTTAGCGTCTTGGTTTAGCAGTGAAATGGGCCGGTAAGATCCTGGTCGCAGTGGGTCTTTGTCAGGTTTAGGGATCAGTCTAATGAATGCCTCATTGAAAGTATGGGGGTATTGTTTAGTGCGTAGAACATAGTTGTATAAGGTAAGTAAAGTCAGCGTCACATCTTCCGACAATAATTTGTAAAAATCAGATGACATACGATCAGGACCGGGTGCCTTGGCTCGAGGAGACGCTGCAATGACCTGTAGTAATTCCTGGGCAGTTATTTCAGCATTTAGGCTTGCCACTTCCGACTCCGATAGAGAGGGCAATTTCACCCCCCGTAGATAGGCTTCACCTCCATCAGACTCAGAAGTGGGTACACCATAAAGGGTCCT